CTCTATTTATCTATCTATCTATCTTTCTCTCTATTTATCTATCTATCTATCTCTGTCTCTCTGTCTTTCTGTCTTTCCGTCTCTCTCTCTCTCTCACACACACACTCTCTCTCCCACTGTTCCCTTTCTGTGTATCTCTCTATCTCTACACAGATCGCCGCTGATGGCGCTAGGCGGTAAAACTGCCATAATCCGGGTGAGTTTCAGCGCTGTAAAGCGACTGCCTAGCGTCAGGGCCAGCTGACGGCGGCCCCGCTAAGCCGCTGCCGCCGCAGCTAGTGTGAGCACGCCGGCATCGGTAATCTCTGACCGGGGCCCCGGGGGTGGGGGAGCCACATCAAACCCTATCAGGCTCGTTTAGCCGCGTGAGGCTGAGCTTGGCAGTAATGTCCTAACGGGCGAGGAGACGATGGTCGGCATCGTCTTGCGTTCGGCGGCCGTGCGACTCATTAGCCGTCATTAGCGGCCCAGGGAAAGAGAATCAGTGCGGCAGTCACGTGACGGCGCGTCGCCCGCCTCTGTGTCATTCGTGAACCCGCCCGCACGCGTCGTACATTACATGCAGATTCGACTACAATTTTGTCACGAGCGTGAAGCTATTGGTCACGGCATCAACCGACAAGTTATGCACACGATCGGTGCTATATAGTATAGCCATCAATCATATTTTCCTTGTGCAACGCGGCGCTCAAGCCGTATTTCTTGTCATCTTTCTTCAATACAATCGCATGATATACCACGAGTCTAGCATAGAGTGCCTAGCCCTAAGTTTGACTCTACTGATAGACATCATTTTAATTGTTCCAAGCACTGATTAACCGTAGCTATAGTTAGAAATATTACAATACGCCGGACCCCACAGGAATATTAGATTCAAAGTACTCTGCATACGTATTACGCATGTGTTTATAGTATTCCTGTAGTTCCAGTGTTCATGTGAGCACAATTGACCTGTGAACATACCAGCGTTCCCGAATATCACAGGGTTCCTGTGAATATACCATGCACAGACTGCCATCAAATTCTAACTCGTTGTCTCTCGTTTACTATACATTCATAGCAGGGGGTTAATAATGACCATAATTTGCCATTATTAACCCCTGATTCATAGAGCATAACATGTATATTTTTGCACAAGTATTCGATCCATCGCCCTCTTCCCTCTCTCTACAGTCGCCTACACCGGATCCTATACAAAGCCTATGCGTATCTGCCGGTAACGTCTGTGCCATGCCTATTGCGTCACACAGACGTCTTCTAATAATCTCCCACTCCCGCTCTGCTCCCCTACAGTCTCATTCACCCGATCCTGTATGACCTCTACGCGTCTCTCTCAATGACGTCAATGCCTTGCTCATTACGTCACGCATGTCTTGCATTAATCGTCCTCGCCCCAGGGCGACATCACATGCGGCGGAGAAGCGCGCTTTCTCTCTTTCTCTCTCTCTCTCTCTCTCTCTCTCTCTCTCTCTTTCTCTTGTTCTCTCTCCCTCTCTCGCTGTCATCATGCCCCCTCTTTCGCATCATCCCCTCTCTCTCTCTCTCTCATCACCCCTCTCTCTCTCTCTCATCCCTCTCTCCCTCTCTCTATGTAGTGTACGTAGTACAGCATCCCTCTCTCCCTCTCTCTATGTAGTGTACGTAGTACAGCATCCCTCTCTCCCTCTCTCTATGTAGTGTACGTAGTACAGCATCCCTCTCTCCCTCT